AAAATTTTGGAATTTAGTTATCTATATTTTAGAATTTCATTATCATGTTCTGTTATGTTGTTTTCTATATTAAACCTATAACGTTGTTCCCAATTTTGTTTTACTTATAGCAAAAAATAAATATTTATTATGTTTACACAATTTTAAAAAAAAATAGAAAATAAAGTAATATTTATGCAATTAAAAGCAGCAACGAAAATATTTGACAAATGAAATAACCCTAAATATTTTGATCTGCTATTTGTTCATTTTTATAACCCCCCTCCCCCATTAAATATACAAAATTGAAAAATTAGTAGGTTTAAAAAATTGACAACAAAAATATTTCAAAAAATGAAGCAATTCACCCCAAATTTTAGAGGATTCATTAAGTTAAAGATTTATGCTATTAATTTGACTTTCTACCTATATGAGGCAGTATATTTACATAGTTCTATTAAATTTTTCTGTCCACATTGTGTGAGAGAAAAGAAATAGGACGATGCTTGCATTGGCCAAAAGCATGATGAAGTAGAAAGAGTTACCACGTTCATTCCGGGGTGAAGCTGATAGCAAAAAGATGTAGTAGTAGTTGTAGTAAGACAAAAGTGAGCCTATGATCCTTGTTGGTTATCAATCCAAAGGAGGTAGTTGTAAGGCAAAAGTTATGAAATACACAAGTTCAAAATCCCATTGCACCAGGCGTAGTAACAATGTAAACACTGCCTTCTAAATAAATATATGGCAGTTATCAGGAAAAGGCTTCAATGGAGACCAAATTAATATCCTGGCCTTACAGAGATAAAACATGCATAATCTTAATCGTGAAATAGACAGAAATCAAACACAAACTTCCAGAGAAACTTTCATTATCTCAAATCCTAAAAAATTTCATCACATTACCTGACTGTACAACATACAAACTTATAATAAATAGGGACTGTAGTTAAACTGTGAAGGAAGGAAAACCAAAATTCAATTTGCTTATGCAACCAGCAAAATGCCTTTAAACAGTATAATCCTTTAGATATTAGTCCAGCAACCTCAACAATTTCATTGAAGGACAATACCCTCAGACTTTTCCTACAAAACAAATTAACAAATATATGATTTCCAAAAGTCATCATCCAGGCTATCTATTTTCTCACCAACAAGAAATGCATGCACCTGATCTCCAGTTTGAACCCAACTGCAACCAGGATTTTTCTTGGCCCCCCTTGACTTCATCAATTCCCTAACCTTGTTTGCCTCGTCCCATCTTTCAGCTTCTGCATACATATTTGAAAGGAGTATATAGTATCCACTGTGCTGGGGCTTTAATTTAAACAAATGTTCAGCTGCCCAGTGACCCAATTCTATGTTCCCATGAATCCGGCATGCTCCGAGCAGCGCACCCCATATATTAGTATCTGGTACAATAGAGAGGCCTCTAATAAGGTCTGCAGCTTCTCTCATTAGACCAGCCCTTCCAAGGAGATCAACCATACAAGCATAATGTGTATGTGCGGGTTCTATATTAAGATCATGCATCATCTTAAAGTATTTCCTTCCCTTCTCAATTAGCCCTCCATGGCTACATGCAGACAAAACCGCAATAAATGAAACTGAATCATATTCCACGCCGTCTTCCTTCATTGCTTCAAAAAGGTTGATTGCAGTTTCCAACTCACCCAGCATACCATAGCCCAAAATCATTGTATTCCAAGAGGCCACATCCTTGTTTTGAATACGATCAAAGACCTTAGTAGCAAGATCTATTCGTCCACACCTGGTATAAAGATCCAAGAGTGAGTTTGCCACAAAAAGATGAGTGTGGAAAAGCTTTCTCATGAGGAGACCATGGACCTCTTTGCCTTGTCTTATGGAAGCTAGATTTGCACAAGCTGATATAACACCCATGAATGAAACAATATCAGGCAACATGCCCAAGAGTATCATTTCTGAAAATAAACTTATAGACTCTGAGCAGTCATTTGTTCGAGAATAGCCTATAATTAGTATATTGTAGGAAACTTCGTCCCTGACAGAAATATTAAAGACATTTTGAGCGAGGTTTAAGCATCCACATTTTGAATACATGTCTGTCAGAGCATTAGAGACAAACAAATCACGAGAAGATCCAACCCGAATAATCCTGGCATGAATTTCTTTTCCAACATTCAGGAAACCTAATCTTGCACAAGCTGGAAGAACATTTGTGAAGGTAACATTGTTGGGGGTTTCTCCCTTTGCTTGCATTTGCCTCACTAGTTCTACAGCTTCAAACTCAAGCCTGTTCTGAGCAAAATTTGCAATCATAGCATTCCAAGATACTATGCTTCTGCCTTCCATTTTATTAAATATGATGGATGCTATTCTCGAAGATCCTGATTTCGCGTATATATCTATCAACGAGTTAGCAATAAAAATATCAGACTCAATAGCCATCCTTAAACTAAACCCATGGATTTCCATTCCCCATTTGAAAAGTCCTAATTCTCCTAATACAGGTAGCATACTAGAAATGGTGACAGAGTTTGGTCTCATTCCAGTACCAATCATCAACCTAAATACATCCAAAGCATCCATATATTTCCCTCTAAAAGAAAAACTAGTAATAATAGAATTCCAGGAAACCACATTTCTCTCATCAATTTCATCAAAAACTTTCTTGGAAGCCTTCTCACTCCCACATTTCCCATAAACATCAACCAACGCATTTCCAACCTTTACATGGCCTAACAAGCCAACCTTCAAAGCATAACAGTGCACAATTCCCGCCATCACCTCGTCCTCAGTTTCTGCACACACCGGCAACACACTAACAACAGTAACCAAATCTGGTTGAATCTCCGGCACAGCCGCAACCATGGCTCTAAAAGACCCTAGAGCCTCCTTATAAAACCCATGGAGAGACCACAAGCCAATAATGGTATTCCACGACACCTTATCCCTTTCAGGCATTTCATCAAACACCTTCATTGCGTCAGAAAAAAGGCCACAATTACCATAAAAGGCCAAAAGGGTATTCCCAACAAAGACATCCCCATCAAAACCAAACTTAAACACAACCCCATGAACCTCCCTACCCTTGTGAACCTCCCCAAAATCAGAACACTCCTTTAGGACAAAAGGGTAGGTGCACTCATCAGGCTTAACACCAGCACGAAGCATGGTGTTATAGGTGGTGAATCCATCAAAGACACGAGCAATGGAATTGGCACGGATAAGAGTGTTCCACAAGAAGGCAGTGCGGGAATATGGAACAGTGTGTTGGAAGAGAAGAAGGGAGGCAGAGGGGTGGCCAAAGGAGGCATATTGGAGAATGAGAGAGGCACAGAGGGAGACACTGCGGGGAAGGAAGCCATGGAGAATGCCAAAGGCGTGAACTTGCTTGATTTGGGAAAGGGTGTGGCAAAGGGTGCAGAGTTGCAGAAGGTTGCAACTGTGAGAGCAAGTGTTGAAAGTGGAAAAGAGTGAAGAAAAGTGGGTGTTTTTTGTGAGAGTAGTTATTATTGAGGGTCGTTTGAGTTTGAGAATATAGAAATGGAATATCATGGAATGATGGAACAGTCTTTTGCTTTTGATGTTTTGCCTCAGTGATCAACTCAAACCATCAGGATATGTTTCACTCCAAATCTCACTGAGTTACTCTGTGTCATAGTATATGTCTGATGATTGAGATACTAATAAATTTCGAAGGCAGACTGTGCTCACCTCTTTTATAGTTGTCGTATAAAGCAATCCTTATAATGAATTTGGGATAAATTTTGTTTGGCTTAAATATGTTTTTAGTCCCTTAAATTTAAATTTATTTTCAGTCTCTCAAATTTAAAATTGTTGTTTTTAGTCCTTGTAATTTTCAAAAATCTCTTAGGTCACTAATAACATTTTTGAAAATGACTAATTAAGATAGTTATGCAATATCAATCGGATTAAATGTGATATATTCACTAATAGAGACACTAATAGGTAGATTTTATGCAATAATGTTTATAAATTTTTTAACAAAATTTGAATATAATGACTAAAATAAGATTTTTTGAAATTATAAGGACTAAAAATAACAATTTTAAATTTAAAGGACCAAAAATAGATTTACCTTAAATTTGAGGGACTAAAAACATATTTAAGCCATTTTGTTTTTATCGCTCCAAAATACATCGATTATTATTGAAATTTAGCTGTAGTGTATATAAAAACATAGTCAGTGGAAACATATCTAGAAAGACCGCTTATAAATCTTAAAAGTAAAAATAAAAACAAAAACAAAAAAGTTTTATGCATGAGATCTTAGCCATTTAAATTATTTAATTTATTTTATAAAAAACACTAAAAACTAATATTTTAAAATTAGGGATGGATAAAAAGGAATTCACTTTGCTAGTGTTAAATTACATTCATATATCAAGGTTGTGGGGAAAAAAATAGACACTAGAATGGGGTTAAATAGTATATGTCAAAAATTTGCACATTTTCAAATGTATAAAGTAGTATTTGCAATAGAAGAAGAGTTACACAACATTTTTATACTAGTTACCAAATTGAATTTTACTAACATTCAGCAAAATTACAAGTATTTTTTTACCAAGTCATTTATAGTTTAAACAAATGTTCTTAGACCGATCTTTCCAAGATACTATCCTAGTATTTTTTTACGGACAAACCTTTGCAAACTCAACCCCGAGTATTATTTTATAAACAAGTCTCTCTAGACTCAAATCCAAGTATTCTTTTACTAACAAATCTCTCAAAGTTCTACCTTATAACAATGGTTATGACGGTATTGTAAGGTTGTAGTTATCATCTTTGCTAAACATGATTACAACAATCGTTTTAAGTACAAGAAAGCTCTTTTTAAAGATATTATACGAGAAGTTATATATTTACACTTGTATTTTGTATACTTGGATCTATGTTTTTCTCTTTTGTTTCTTTTATACTCTGTTTTTTGTCTTCTGAGTTTTAGAGCTTTTTATATAATGGTTTTAAAAGAGATGACCGTTGCAACTTTTTAGATTTGATTCATAGAATTATTTCGTCTTACTCCTTCATCTGATCTTTAAAGAGATGAAGTATCTATTAGTGTATTAAATGTTTTAATTAATATCTTTTACTTAAATGTATTCGTCATCTTTGATAGATCAATCTACTTATCATAGTAGAACAGTAAAGCGATAACAACAAAAAACAAAGTCAACGTGCAAATAAGAATGCACTCCTTTTTTAGTGTCTTTTTGGGATCTTTGTCATTTATTCCGCTACTCTTCATACTTTAACACACTTTTAATAGAATGAGTTTCAAGATAATAGTTTTCAATATATTAAGGCAAAAAGCATTCATTTAAACATTTAAAATTCATTAGTTACAATAAATAATAATCATTAAAGACAGTTTGTATACCTCGTCTTATAAACGCTACTTCGTCTTATTTAGTCTAAAACAATGACTTTTACACACATTTCTTACTAACAAATGTAGTATTTGTTATCATTAAAATTTATAAAAAGAATGAGAGATCTAAAAATCATCTTTTGACTTAACAAAGTGACATTTACTCTACATAACCAAAGCTCATAATAATAAGAGTATATTTGAAAACATTAATAATATAACATTTCAACTGCTTGTTTTTAGAAAAAAAAATATATATTTATAAAATATGTTGTATGTTAAAAACAACACCTTAAATTTGTAAATAGTTTTTTCTTAAAAAAAATAAATTAGTTTTAAGAATCTAAAAATTTGAAGCTTATGACAAATTCTTGATAGATTTTTCTCCTTTTAAGCTAATTTACTACATAAAAGTTATTTTCTTTTTTGTATTCAAACAAAATTAATCATATTAAAATCATTTATCAATTTACTTATCTGAACAAAATTTCATTTTAATTATAACAATAAATGATTATTTATATAACCAATTATTAAAAAAATTTAATTTTGACAACTTTTCTATCGCACTCTAATATTGATGAGTTACCCACGAAAGTAGAAGCCAATAGGTAAACAGCAGAAGGAAAGCTGAAGCAGCTTGTCATTCCATAACTTTTTCCCACTTCCCCTCAATGTTAGTTTCTTATTACAAAAAGTAACAACCTAAACTAGAGGTACCTCAAGTAAGAAGATGCTAAGAAGAAAATAATTCAAACATCTGTTTGACCACGCAATCTTTTCAACAACCACTTTTTCCTTAATCTCTCGTCTAATTTCAAAAACATCAATGCCCTCTTCTCATCAAAACATAAATACTCACAAGCTTCGATGATGAGATCATCATCAAAGTCAGGCATATTTTGTACCTTTTCAACTACTTCCTCCAAGCACACAGTCTTGTTACTTTCACTCAATGCGTCAGCTATTCGACTGATATCTGCAGCCATAACACTCATCATTTGTAGCATAACATCACTGGTACGTCTTCTTTTTGACGGTTGCTTTGAATGTGATTGTGATGATGAAGGCCTTGCCCTTGTCTGCTCAGATGAACCCTGCACTTCATCACTTGCATTACCATCATGGCTCATCTCTACATTATTAGCCAACACTGGCGCTGGAGTTCCTGCAAGTTCTTCATAGTTAGGTGTAAGATTTACGTCAAACATCTCAATGTTTTCGGACCAATTTCCACTTCCTTGCTCATTGCCAACAATCATACCCAATTCATGGTAGTTCTCAATACACCGGTCTCTCAAATGCCTAGCATCAGGATGTTTCTGAATAAACATAGACCAATGATGAATTAGAAAAACAGAGTTTAGCACTGCAATGGAATAAAGGTGCAAAATATGCAGTTGAGGTTGTGCTTGTAGTTGATAGCAACTGAACCGATCAACTAATCATACAAACAAAGGCACAAATATATGACACCTACAAAGACAATGTTGGTGTATTTTGGTAGTCATTATTATGATGGGCCTAAATTTAAATGGCATGAAGTGACTAAGTGGGTATAGCATATGATTGAAGATTATCACCAGATCACTGGGTTTATGGCCTAAACTTGATAACCATTAGGAGCTACCTAAAGTATTGCAATAGCAAATAAATATAATCCAAAACAACTTCAAAATTAATTTAATATTATGGAATATACCTTAATGTATGCATCCCAATCCAAGTCAGTTGCAACAACCATCTTCCGTTCCTCATCCCACTCAAATCTCCCTTGAGAGAGCATTTCCTTCATAAGGCCATACTGTTTCTTCCATGTTTTCAACCGGCTTATAATGTTTTCTTTTGTTATATTCAGGCCAAATCTCTCATTTAGAACATTTAGTGCAGCTATATATGCTGAGGTCTTGAAATTTTTCTCAAGCTTGTTTCCCAACATTACTTGATTGAATAGCAACTCTGTCAAGCAATGATCCATCTCATCTGTCCATGACACATTCTTTCCTTTTTCTTTTGCCGAGTTGGTTCTACGAAAGTTCGTCTCTTGAACCTCCATAACACTATCGTTTGTAGTCATACCCATATTAGCACAAGCATCATTCGTGGAACTATCTGGTGGATCACAATGACCAATAATTATGCACAATTCGTCATAGTTTCTGATAACTCGCCCTTTAAGAAGCCGAGCATCAGGATTTTTCTGCTCCAGAAATGTATACTTATTATAAGCTCCAGAATAATACCATTATGCAATAAGAAATGTCGGACAAAAATTAAAAGTAGTTTTTCATGTACCTTTATATATTCATTCCATACAGAATCATTTGCAATGACCATTTTTTGCTTCTCGTCCCATTCAAAGCCGCTCTGGTTCATAAGTTCCTTCAGAATATCATACTGTTTCTTCCATGTTTTAAGGCGGTTTTTAACATGTTCTTTCACCAAATAAAGCTGAAACTTTTCATTAATAACCAACACAGCTGCTTCAAATGCAGCAGATTTCAATTTGTAGTCAAATTTGCTTCTGTTACCTTGCTTTATTTGCTGCACAAGGATTTCACTAAGGCAGCTGTCCATGTCACTTGTCCATCTTATTTGCCTTCCTTGATCTTTAACATTGATATCATAGTTAACTGGACAGACACTTAGAGCCTCAACTGGCTCATCACAAGGCTCAGATTCATCCCAATGCAAAGGCTTGTTAAAATGGCCAAAGATAATGCAAAACTGATCATAGTTCTGAAAAATTCTACCTCGGAAAGTCCTTGCATCTGGATGTGTCTGGCATGATACCGAGAATGAGTAACATGAAGTCATCAACATCACAAAACTAATGTCAAAATACTGTGGTCAAATTCTCATGCATATGTATATTCTTTCAGGCTAAAAAAATTAATAATTTGACATCTGATTCTTAAACCAAATTCTGAATTAAAAATACACTGTTATAAGACCTGAATACACAAAAATGAAGTATGAATTTCAAGACATCATGAAACATTAAACTGAGGTATCATTATTAGATCAAGATTTGTTTAAAAGGAATAGCTAAATTTCATCTATTGTTTTCATCTTCATTAACATCATGAAATAAGTTATAACAATCGAAGGCTGTAAAATGCACAAAATCATAGACACAACAGTTGAATACTAAAATATAGCATCGGAATGATAAATCATTCAGAATTCTTGTTATGTAACTAGTTTAAATGAGTTTAATTTGTAGAAAAGACCATGAAAGTGATTGTGTGAGGGAATCAACGCCTTGAAACTGCCCAATGATATTTTGTAAAGTCAAACACACTTCAGTCAGCAATGATGAGATATATCTAGCTGTCTTCCAAGAACTAATAATTCACTTTAGTTTTCCCTTTTTTCACAAACATCAGTCTTGAAAAAAAAAATTCTATTCTTCATCGTTAATCAAACAGTTTCTCTTTCAATTTATTGTAAATCTATTAATGAATTTGCTTATTGAATATACTGTACTTCCCTGTACATCAAAAAATATCAACATGAGATTTGAGAAGTTTCCTATGCACCTGATGTGATTACAGGCACACAAATATATGCATATACTACAATTTCTCTTCCAAAAAATAATTTTGATATCACTTTATTGCAACATTATTAAAATGGTTCCATTCATTCTAATGCTGTTATTTCATAAGTGGAGTCTGTAAAAACATCAACTGAATATCCGAATTCTACTTCTGATTACTATTGCCTATGATGAATATAATTTTGGAAGAGGCCTTTACTCACTAAAAGGAGAGAAACTTAATTAATAGGGTAGTATTTGGTATCATTGTTATCTGTGTTGTATCATTCATGATATGTTACACACAATTCAATTCAATTCAAGCAGTTGGTGATGAGAACGCTGAGCAAATTAATTTGATGCTTGAATCGCATATGAATAGCAAGAACAATTTGCTTCAGATGAATATCACAATTTTGGCACATGCAGGTCACACACCAAACCAAGACGGGTCATGCACAACCTGGTTCCAGAAAACCGAGAAAAATTCTTTTTTATAATATAAAAAAAATAGCTAAAAAGAGAGGGAATAGGCCAAATGTTTCCCTTCAATCAGACCCAGGGTAACCCATTGTCTCCTTGTCCAGTTTTCTAATCATTTTTCTTGTCTTCTTTCTACTCTTCTTTGCCCATCCTTCAAGTCTTTTACTCTTCTTTGCCTCTCCCAGTTGGTGTGTGTGTGTTTTGACTTATAATATGATTCTTTATGTTAAAATGCCCTTAGATTTATGTTTTTCAATTATTCATCATGTATTTGTGCTTTTATCTTTTTTAGTTGTATATGGCTATGTTTTATTATTGATCATGAATCCTGTGATTCACAATACAGTTTGATTCACGATTCAAAAATTAAACCTTTTGTTTGAATGGTGACTGAGAGGACCACCTGAAGGTCAATGCAGAGCATCAAGGACAGAGAAGAAAGGTGGTGTCCACCTGCAAACACTCCGACACTCAAGCCAATATGGGGTTTAACAGAGTATTAGTGAGGAAAAAAAGGGGCGTGAATATACTTAGTGACGTTTCAAGGTTTTTATAGGCTGGTGTGAGCAATCATTGGAGTGAGAAAAGATTGTTATCCATGTAGGCAGTTTGTTGCGGGATGTGCCACGATTGAACAAGGTTCTTATGTTTTTCATGAGTAAGTGGACATCTACATGACCTAAGTCGGTATGCGTGTGACTAAGTCGATCTTTGTCTATCATGGATGTATTTTTGCTTGGGGTAGCTATATATAGTATAGGTCAGTTGTTTGCCAAGTGCAGGCTTGTGAAGCCCTTGGCCTCTTGGTAGTCGATGCCAGGGTGTGTACCTGTTAGGCCCAAAGTGACCTCCAGAGCACCTTCTGATTCACAATTTGAATCTAAATTCAATGCCATGTTTGGTATTTTTTTTGTCATCATTTTTCAATTAGTATTTTTTAATAAATATGAAAATGACACCTTGTTTTCACTTTGTTTCCTGTTTTTGAGTATTGTGAATGAAACAGTGAAAACAAGAAAACATTTTGTGAACTTTTATAGACAATAAGTTTACCATAGCTTCTTTCTTCCCCAACTTCTTTTGTTTTTAAGAAAACATCTCTATAGCTTTGACGGAAATAGCAGCCTAGTAAAATCAACTTTGAGCTGCAGATTTATCTTTCATGATTTCATGATTTTAAAAAGTCTATATAGGGTCGGCTTGGGTAAATACCTTAAATTATAAGCATTTATGTATAAGTTGTTTCCATATTTTAAGGAAAAATAAGAACAGACTGTTTTCATATAAGTTGCAAGTTATTTTCACAAGCTATCCTAAAGAACTTAATGAAATAAGCTGACAACAACTAATGAACATATCATAAGCTATTTTGATAAGCTCTCTCAAACACTTATCTAAGTTTAAATCAGTTATAAAGAAACTCTCCCCATAACAATCATCCTAAAACCTTCAATTTAGAATGTTTCCTTATTTACTGCCACATATCGTGCTCAACAGTACCATATGATATACCAAAATCTCACCAAATTTTTCCTCTAGAAGAAAGAAATTAAATGTTATGATTCCTTATTAATTCATTGACCATTTTACGTTCATCCAAGACAATTTTTTGACCATTCCTTATTAATTAATTGCTTAGGGAGTGTTTGTTTCAGGGAATGATATTTCATCCCCGGGAATCATATTTCTAGGAATAATATAACCTGGAATGTTATTCCTAAATATAAGGAAAAAAAATTGGTTCATTTTAATATTCCTAGAAATATTTTCTAAAATTTAAAATAGTTTAAATAAAAAATAAATAAAAATTGAAGTTAAAAGGGTTATAAAAAATAACTTCAATATTCCCATGGGAGTATCACTCACTCACACCCCACCATGGGAATAAAACTCCCCTGCTCATAAGAATATCACTTTTCCAAGAATAGAAGATACCTAGAAAGATCATTGTAAGATCTTCTAACAAACGTGGAAATAAATATTTCCACTTTCGTAATCCTGAAAATAGAAAAAGATAACCCAAAACAAATGTCCTACTATAGCTATCATTTACCGAAATGATAACCTGAGCCAGCACACATTGATCTTAAATTTGGGAGGATTCAAAATTTAAAACACATTTCTTTTCGAAAATTTAATGGTATTTGCTAGTGTAGTTCATTTTGGATATTTGATATGTGTTAAGATAATTCTATAAGATATAGTTTAGATATACTAGTTTATCTTCTCCTATTTTCTAGTTTAGTTTCCTTTGTCAGTTTTATCTAAATCCCTAAACTTTAGGGATTGATTATGTTTTATGCCTATTTATTTTATTGTACCTATTCAGATTCAATAATAAGAAATTATTCATATTCAAGTTGGTACCAGAGCACTCTGGCCCAGGAACCCTAATCCAGCTGCCAACATCTAGGGTTTTTGACTTTTGTCGACGGGTTGCCGAAGTTGACACCGCCTGTACATTCAGAGGTCGCCGATCGGCCTCGCCGTCGCGAGCCACCACCAGCCGCTGTCTCAGGCGCCCTCACGCGCGATTCTTGATGAGGAAGCTCGCCGGCACGTAGGGTTCACGTGCTGCCCTCCAGGCCTCCGTTTGCGATGCGGTTCACTCCGTTGGACTCGTCCGCCCTCCCTCTTCTCGTTTTGACCCTTTTCAGGTTGTGGGTCACACTCTAGGTGGTCTGTTGGTGGTCGTTTGGCTGCTGCCTCGGAGTTCCGTGGTTGTTTGGTTGCTGCCTCGAAGTTTCGTGGTCGTTTGGTGGCTGTCTCGGAGCTTCGTGGTCGTTTGGTTGCTGTTTCGGAGTTCCGTGGTCGTTTGGTTGTTGTCTCGGAGTTTCGTGGTCGTTTGGTTGCTGACTCAGAGTTCCGTGGTTGATTGGTTGCTACCTCGGTGTTCCGTGGTTGACTGTTTGCTGTTTCTATGGTTTTTTGATTGAGGTTTTTTTTGTTGTTTTTCTCCTTTTTTCTCTTCATGGATCAATCTCCAACTTCAGCTCTAGAGCTCAAGATTGAATCTGAGGGCAATCATCCAATCTCATTATCTACCGATGATCACAAAGAGTATCTTCAACTGAAGGCAGCGCAACAAGCCTCTTCTTCTGTCATTGTTGCTCACACCGGTAATTCTACCGTCTGTCTCTCTCACTCTACGTCTATTAGAAAAAAAAAAATTGTACCAAAAATGCAGCAACATGGTCCTGTGTGTCATAATCCTCCTTTGCCTAGATCGCCTTAAACAGATTCCCTTAGCATTTGCAGCTACAATCATCAATTAAAGAAACGTCATGTTCTTCACGCGCAATAATAATAATTTCAGTTCTAAAAAAGACTCAAGCTAAAACATAATGAGATGACAAATATTGGATTTAGGAGTGGGTTTATCCCTAACAATATAGATAACAACATTCAGTTCTCTGAGCTTGCTTAGAACATTTTCAATTGGAGAAACCCACATAGTTGCTTAGTAAATCTAAAGCCTAAAGGTGTGAATGGTGATTCTTCCTGTATGATGTTATCGTTAAACAATTCATACTTAATTTTATTTTAATAGGAGAAATTCTAAAAAATTAAAATAAAATAAAACTCATAATTTTGTATTTTTAATTTTGACTTGATTATAATGATACCTATAAATTTATAAAATCATTTTTTAGCATTATTGCATATTTAAATATTAATTCTAAAAAATCATTTAAAATTATTTTTTTTTCAATTTCTGAAAAATTGAACAATGAAAATTTGAGAATGCAAAATAATT